AAAAAAAAAAAAACAAAAAAAACAAAAAAGGAGTTATCACAAGATACAGTTCTAAAAAATACATGCTTATATACATAAAGTTCATTGAATTAATGGAAACTAAGTATCATTATAGGAGAATTTGGCAAATAATTCATTAATTCATGTAAACATTCAAAAGCTTATTGTTTTATCTTTTCAGATAGAGATGGATCCTTTCCTTATTCAAGGGACCAAAATTTTATTTTCCACTATACTTTTATGTCACTTTTCTAATACCTTCTGTAACATAGAGATTCCTTTTCAGAATCATTTCATGTCATACATTATAAAATATATTCTAGACTTTGACACAATCTTTAACATGTTGATGGAAATAGATTGTATTTCAGAGTCTTTTCACTTTAACATTAACTATTCACTAATAATATATGCTAACATAAATGTGGATTGATTATTTAGAAACATGTTTTTTAGAGTCTTGTCTTGCTTCCATTTGATGGTTAATGTTTGTTTTTTAATTTAGAATTTATTTCTAAATATTATCATTCTTTGAAAATATTTACTGAAGCTGGTCCTTACACATTCCAGGTGGAGGTGATTTACCTAAAACTGTGAAAAAAAAATCAAATTTTACTTACAGTTGGTAATGGTCCAAATGGATGAATGACACATCTGCCCATTAAGTAAAGAGCTTACATGTACAAAGATCTCTGTGAAACCAAATTCACTAGTTCTTCCCTTTGAACAGCTAACCAAGAAAAGGTCATATGGCCAATATCATCACAATAATCTCTTATTTAAAATGACTTTCTTCTATGTGTAATTAGGTTTATGTTCTATGTCTTTTTAAATTTTTGTAAAATAAAAGATTTAATCTTAATATCTATGTATTCTTCAATGTGAAAACATTAAATACTATTGTTTGTAAGATAGTTATGTATTTACTCTTGTCTGAAAAATTTGTATAATGTTTACTTAATCTAGACAATATCTTTGATTCTTTGAAGACTTCACTGAGAATTGTTTCATTAACAGGAAGATAGAAGCAAATAGGGGAACTCTATGATCTTATTTCCCTCTAGAAACTGTTGAAATGCTTCAAATATGAAAGTCTCAGTTTCATTTTGTGGCATTCAAAGCCACGTCCTCTTTTCCATCATTTTGTTGTTGTTCTGGTAAGCCCTCATCATCTCCTTAGAATCATGCAAATGCTTCCTAATAGCAGCTTATTCATGTTCATCTTTCATATCACTTCCAGAAGGATTATTCAGAAATACGATTTTGATCATGCTATTATCCTGCTCAAAACTTTCAACAACTTCTTATTTCTTGCCAGATAAAATCCATCAAATAACCCACTCCTCAACTGATTTCTTCCATTACTCACACTCCTGCCATACACCTGTTTTTGCTCAAACCAACCATGTTTTCACTACTTTGCAAATATTGTTCCCTTGGTCTAGACAGACGCCATCTTTGAACACTGCTGAGACTTATTTTATCATCCATGATTGAGAGCAGGGACTCAGGAGCCAGACTTACTAGGTTTGAATTTCAGCACCACTATTTGCAAGTTGTGAGATCAAAAGTAAGTCACTCTTAATGCTCTTCAATAAGATAAGGACAACAATAGAATCTGCCTGATAAAGTTATCAAGAGGATTAAAGGAAACACCATATTTAAGAAAGGAAAACCTGTATTAAAATGTTAATGCTCAAGTCATGTTAGGCTTCTATAATTACAAGAGATAGAAGATAGGAAATAATAAATATTAATAGTATATATTGAGTATTACAATTTTAATACAGTTTTTTTCCTTTCTTAAAATGTGCATACATTTTTGGGGCACCCTCTGTATGTAAAGCACCTAGCACATATCTATGTTTGTTAAGTCCTCCTCTCTCTCTCCCTCCTGTTATCTCTTCTAAGCAGACTTCCCTGATGACAGTAGATGATGTTTGGCACCTCTCTTCTTTGATCCTATAACATTCCGTATATTTCTTATTATATATTACATTATTCAGTAATTGTTAGGTTTTACCCTGCAATCAATCTGTTTGAATAAGAGTAAAGGATATTTGAGACAGGAGTGTTCTTACTCTAAGCAGTTAATAACATGCTGCCATAGAGGAAGAGCGGTAGTCTAAAGAAGGCAGAAATAAAATTGGGAAACGAATGGGTAGTACATCTGAAGATTTGGGTGATTGTGAACTCAGGTGAGACATGACTGAAGCTAGATGGGACTATGGCAAGACAGGATCAGATACAGAAAGTCCTCACTTGATGTTGTCAATAGGTCATGGAAACTGCAGCTTTGAGTGATATACAGCTTTGCTGTATAACAAACTGAGTTTTACTGGGTTAATTGGCAGGCTAATTGACATAAACAAGAGTTAAGTTCCTATAGCACACAGCACACAAGGGTGTATGGTGGTATCAGGCTGAGCAGTGATTGTTCACTTGAGTTCCTAAAGGAAAAAAAAAACACAGTCTTTCATACTACTTACACTATACTGTAATTTTGAAATTTTAATACAAAAATCCACAAATCCTTTAACTTAAAAAATTTATAGATTAAAGATCTCTTTGCAAACCACCTTCAATTTCAATCTCTTCCATCTCTGCAGAAGTAGCTGGTTCTAAACTCTCATTTCATTCTGTGTGTTGCCAAATTTCAGTGTCCACTAAATCATAGCCTTGCCAAGTCTCCTTTGTTTATTGAATGGAAAGAGGAAATGAGGAGAAACAGAAGTACTTGGAAACTCAGAGTACCCTGAATTTCCAAACGGAGCCTTCCTTGCTCCTTGAAGTGGTCCCTCCCTGACTGAAAGGGCTCTTCTTTTGCTGGAAGACACTGTTGCTTTTGTTGAGGATTGAGACCACTCCTAATCCTCCTTTAGGCGCCTTCATCCCCAGCACAGCATCTTCAGATCTGCAATCAGGGCATGCCCTAATATCAATTGCAAAGCCAAAATGGAGGAGAAGCCTTTTGGTAATTTATATTAGCAGAAGTCCCGGGAAGACCTATAGAGACAGATTGAAGTTGCCCGACTGAGGAAGAAACAATTTTAGGTGTGACTGAATGTTTATTGATATAGTCATATTTACCAGGAATTATGAGTTCAACAGCCTGGCTTGAGCAGATGTGTTTGGCTCTTAATAGTTTGCTTCCTTAGCTAACACGAACCTAGATCCAATAGCAGCTGATGCTCAAGCTGAGAAGCCAGAGATGTCTTAGAATTCAAAGACTTATGGAGATAGAAATGCCGGGGCAAACTTAGCTTTAATTCATTCTTAAAGTAATTACTGAGTGGAAACCATGTGCCAGACAGTCTTTTAGGAGGCTGGAGATACATCCGTGACCAACACAGACAAAAAGCCTGTACTGATGGAGTTAACATTTTAGCAAAGGAGACAAATAAATAAATACAATAAATATCATGGATAATTCCATAGGATAAGGGAGTGCTGGAGGAGGGGGCGCTATTTTATATAAAACTGTCAAGAGAAGCCTCTTTGTGGAGGTGACATTTGAACAGAGACCTAAAGAAATGACAGCACAACCCATTGGGATTGTGATCTGGGACAAGCAAGCTCCAAGCATGAGCTGCAGAAGGCCAGAGTCTAGAGACTGGACAGCATGTTTGAGGGTCAGCAAAGGGGCCTATGCGTAAAAAGCAGAGAGTCTTGGGTCATAGGAGTACAGGAGATGAGATCAGAGAGAGCTTGGGGAATGGGGGTTAGACGAGGGGTGGGAGGCCAGATGCCGTGTAAGCCAGGTAAGGATTTTGCCTTTTACCTGGAGTAGATCAGAGCCCTGAGGGTTTTGAGCATAGGAGACATATGATCTCATTCAGTTTTATTTTTATTTTTATTATTTTGTTTTAATCAAGTGATCAGCAATGAGTATTCTCTTCCTTTCAGGTCAGTCCCAAAAGATGATTGCCATCATCTCAATAAAATGAAGATTTTTTTTTTTTTTTTGAGACATTGTATCACTGTGTCACCCTTGGTGAATGCCACGTTGTCACAGCTCACAGCAACCTCAAACTCTTGGGCTTAAGCGATTCTCTTACCTCAGCTTCCCAAGTAGCTGGGACTATAGGCACCTGCCACAATGCCTGGCTATTTTTTTGTTGCAGTTGTCCTTATTGTTTAGCAGGCCAAGGCCGGGCTTGAACCCGCCAGACCCATGTATGTGACCAGTGCCCTACTCACTAAGCTACAGGCGCCAATCTCCCTCAGTTTTAAAGGGATCAATCACCCTTGTTGCTGACTGGAGAATAGACTATAGGGAGACAAGGATTGAAGCAAGATGCCAGTTTGATAGTATTCGCAGTAATCCTGGTGAGAGCATGAAGAAAAGTTACAGTGAACTGCATCTATTTCAAAGGCAGAGGTAAAAAAATTTGCTGCTCAAAGGCTAGCCAGCAGTAAATAGGAAAAACAATTAGAGGTGTCAGAGAAAAGCCCAAGATTTTAGCCTGAGCAACTTTGAAGGAGGGAGCTGCCAACAACAATGGAGAAATCTGCAGGGAGAGACTTTTCTGGAAAGTGTGTGGAATGGGTTGGGGTGGGGAGCTGGAATGGGAAGTTTTGAACATTCTAAGTTCAATACCTATAAGACATCCAAGTGGATCTAGGCATTTGGATATTAGTCTGAAGTTCAAGAAGGAACTCTAGGGTTCAGAAATACATTTGAGAATTGCTAGAATACAGATGGTAATGAGTCCTTGGGACTAGATGAGATAACTTAGTAAATAAGTGTATATGGAGCAAAGACTTTCATAGAGGCAGACCCAGGACAAATTGACCTTGTTGAGGTTGGCGATAAGGAGGAACCAGCACAGGTGTGTCCCACCCCGTAACCATGTGATTGGAGAGGACCCAGGGAGGCTTCTTTATGGAGAGGGCAGAGTTTTATTCCCCCTGGAATAGATGCTTATTTCCAGTTATTTTAGATTTGGATTTTCTTTTCCTTGCTTCTGCCACCACCAGTATTTTGTTGAGTTACTGGATGTCCTAAAAAGCCACTGTGGTATTATACAACAGCATTCTGCAGAATATTCCTTTTGATTCAGGTAGTTGCTCCACAGTGATAAAAGGAGGCAAGGCCCTAGCCCAGCAGTTCTCAACCTGTGGGTCACAACCCCTTTGGGGGCCAAATGACCCTTTCATAGGGGTTACCTAAGACCATCCTGCATATCAGATATTTACATTATGATTCATAACAGTAGCAAAACTACAGTTATGAAGTAGCAACTAAAAATAATTTTATGGTTGGGGGTCACCAGAACATGAACTGTATTAAAGGGTCCCGGCATTAGGGAGGTTGAGAACCACTGATTTAAACCCCTACAAAACAATTCTATGCTATTAATGCTCCTATTATCCCTGGAACTACTACTTCCTTTCTGCTCCTTCTCTCCCCTTCCACAATCCCATAGCCTGGCTGCCCTGTACCCCTGTCCAGACTCTTCTCTCTCTCCAAATCCTCTATCAAGTCAGCAGCCTACTGTCCCTGTGCCCATAGTCAATACTGTGTCTGCATCTTTAATCATCTCAAGTCCCAGCGGTAAACCAAAATTAAAACCATGATCTAACTAAGAGATGGTCCATATCTTAGAGACAGCACTATCTCTCAAAAAGATCTATATTATTTTAATAGCCGCTTCAGAAGGAAATCTACGCTATACCTCTGAGAATACTCACAAACTCACTCTACTTTCCTCTTGAAAGGAAATTATCACATTTTAAATTAAACATACGAGCCTTTTTTCTTAGCTCTTCAAAATAACTGATGTTACTATTTGAATCCAATAAATATTGTACCCTTCTGCCTACTCTGTGCCTAGATAAGTTGGTGTTATGTGCTTCTCATAGTATTCTGAATACGCCTTTTTCAAACAATAGCTTTCTAAGCTAGCAAAATCCGAGTTCCATTTCTAGTATTCAAGATTTTCTCTGAGAAACTAAGGAGAATAATATGGTTCATGATGAACTGCTTCTCTAATTACAGAAGGCCTTGTACAAAGTGCAACATAGTTGGAAACAGATACCATCTGTTCAGTTTTTATCTCTGGAAATTGGCTTTCCAGTTTCCCACAAAAGACAAGCAATCTGTGTTCATGTTTTAAAAGTATATTGCAGAAGAGTCCACAAAATTATTTACTTACATTTATTCCCCACTCATTAACGTTAATATAATTTTTTTCACTGACACTAAGTAACCTGGTTTAATTTCTGTTTACAGACTCTTGCTTCTGCACACTAATAATGATAAACAGCTGTCACTTGCTGAGCGCCAGCCATGTATGAACACTTTCCTAGGCACATTTCCAATGCTCGCTCTGCCTGCTGGGATTAATGCTGCAATCAGGAGGCGATGCTTCGCCCTCACTGAAAATCTTCCTTGGGAAAGTAAAAAGCCTCTGTTATCTACAAATTGTTTATCATTTGTAGAGCCATTATCCATTTCCACTTTCCTGACATTCTTGGCGTGTTTCTCACGAAATGAGCTAATCTTCCACAGGTAACACATATGGTACACACGGCAGACCTCAGTATCACCCTCCTCTGACACTCTGTGTCAATCTAGAAAGTGAAAAAGGATTCCAATTATATCTTACGGTAAACATCTCTTTTTTGGTATCTTATCAAAACAATTATATAATATTTTGTAGACAGGAGATATTTCAAAAATTAAGATATATTTTCAAGTGTGTTAATGTCCCTACTTAACCTCGTGGTTAAAAATTATTTTCTTCCTTCAGCTAAGTCAGAATTTATAACAACTCTGACAGAAAAGGCAAACAAGTCTCTACACTCTCCAAACATTATTTCACTCCCATGGTTACATGGCAGAATTGGCTGATGAGCATATCTTCGTTCTTTGGAAGCCGAAGACTTAAGTAAACTCCAAAGTTCTTATTCTCACTTGTTAGATAAACTAATTCTTTTACCAATGAAAGGTGTTGGTGATGGTGACTTTTTAGTTTCTATGTTATACTGAGTAAATTTATTTAACACGATCAAGCCAACTACTAAAAATTTTGAAGGACCCTGATATGAGGGATAATTATTTGAAGGACCCTGATATGAGGGATAATTATTAAATTTGGACAGGAAAGATCAGTACATTCATGATGAATGCAGTACTGGCATTTAACACACTGAGTTGCTAGAGCAGAGGTTTTCTTTCTTTCTTTTAGACAGAGCCTCAAGCTGTTGCCCTGGGTAGAGTGCCGTGGCATCACAGCTCAGAGCAACCTCCAACTCCTGAGCTTACGCGATTCTCTTGCCTCAGTCTCCCAAGTAGCTGGGACTATAGGCGCCTGCCACAACGGCTGGCTATTTTTTGGGCTGTAATTGTCATTGCTGTTTGGCAGGCCTTGGATTCGAACCTGCCAGCTCTGTGGTATGTGGCTGGCACCTTAGCCTCTTGAGCTTCAGGCATCAAGCCTAGAGCAGAGGTTTTCAAACTGTGTCCCTAGTGGCCCTAAAGTTCTACAGACATAGTTGTTGAAATGCCAAAGGAAGCAGGGTTGGGGGAGAAACCAGGAGAATGAGCGCTGTGTGAAGCACTGCTCAGCTGAAATAGTTCTGCTGGTAGTCTATGTCTTGGGGTTCCATCTGCAATTTAATGTTTAAAAAGGGATTTTTATTTTTCAAAAAGCATTTAAAAATCATTGCCTTTCTATTTCATATCCTTTGGGGGTTAAGTTGGCAAATTAAAACTGGTATAGATATGTGATATAGATATAGATATAGATTTAAAGATAAAACTTTAAATACTTAAATCACTGAGAACTTAGGTTGACTTGATGTGGGACATGTATTCAGAAACTCAGGAAATTTCTCCTTTTTAAGTTTGCTTTTAAAAATAGTGATTCATCATAGTGCTATGATTATTTTAGTGGAGGGCTTTGCTACTTGCTGGATACATTTGCTCTTTTGAGCAAAATCTTTGTGTGGTTATCTGTAAGACAGAGAGCTGAGAATTTGCAAGGAACATGAAGATAAATACTATATGCTTCCTGCTTGTGAATTTCCTAAAGCGAGTGTAGATTAGCTCAAAACACGTGAAAGAAAACAGTCAGGGGCATGAGGAAAATGCAAGTATGATGCGGACAGATCACACAAGCAGAAGTGATCACTGAGGTCTGGGCTGTCCCTTCTGGAGCACAGACATGGGAGGAGAGCACTCCTGGCTTAGGTGCAAGAGGAGCGAAGCCACCACAGGGTGGAAAGTCAGGAACCAGTTAGGAAAATAATTACACATCTAATTTGGCGGGAGCACAGGCTCTGTAGTAGGGGACAGTGAAGTCAGGGAAAAGGGATTGTTGGAGACGGATTGTGAAGTCAAGAAAAAATTCAAACCTAAGTATCTGCAGTCCCCCCACCACTTCTTAATTGCTCGGTTCTGTGCCTGCGCCTATGAGGTGACCATGGGATGCTGGGTGGGAATGCGTACTGGAAGGAACTTGAAGACTGCTTTAAAAAATAATAACAGGGCCAAAGACATCAAGGAGAAGATGGGCTGAGATACAAAGAGGAAAAGTGCAGCCTGAGGGTGGGAAGGCAAGTTCCTGGAGGAGATTTTAAAGAAGAATAGAGGATGGAGGAGAGGCATGTGCAGTGCTGAGGACTTTGGGGAAGTTTTGCTGCGTGATGTGCTGTGGAACTCTGGCCTCCAGGTGCTAAAAGAGGTTTCAGTGTAGCCCTGTTACTTCCCAAGGCTCTCTGGAGGCGGATCTGTGCTGAGTTGGGTCTTAAGGTGGGAGTGAGAAGGATCAGTTCTATTCAGTTCACAAACTATCCATGCAGAGCAAGGGTTTCCCCAGTGGTGCCGCGGGGATGTGGGCTGCGGGGCCGGTTGTGATGGTGGAAGTGAAGGGGAGAACAGGGAGCCTTTACCTGCATCCTTCACCCCTATATCTACCACATCCAAATCTGTTTT